GCCTCAGCGCCGGGCACATTCGTATGTAACATTTGCAATAGTTTCAATGGTTCTCATGGTTCACATACCAGAAGCGCCGTTTTGGAACGATTCAGGACGCTCAGTGCGCAACAACTACTTTGATTCGCGGTTTGGAAGTCCCAGGAATGGTGTTCTGGCACGATTCTGGATCGCCAAGACGTAACAATCAAGTTAACTACTGGCGTTAAGTCCTGAGAATGGTGTTTTGGGACGCCTCAAGATGTTCACACGGTTGTCCCCCAACGGGGCAATTCCCTCAGTGGAAATGAACCCTTGCAGGGGCCTATGACAAGGGATCTGAGAGGTGTATTTCAACTTCGTTGATGAATCTTGGGTTTACACTGGCCCTGCTCCTGCTCCTCCTCCTTCTCCTCCTGGAGCACCTCCTCCTCCTATTCCTCCTCCTCCTCCTCCTCCTCGTCATCCTCCTCCTCCTGCTCCTCCTCGTCCTCCTCGTCATCCTCCTGACGGTGCAGGAGGCAGGAGGGAGGAGGAGGATCGGTGAGGGCGACCGGCTGTCGGTGTCAACCGATGTATGGGCAGACAAACACACAGTCCAAAGTAACTTGCTCCCACCGCCCCGGCGCGGCCCCCACCCCTGTTGTATCTGTCCACTGGGCCGCCCCCCTCCCCCCGCCCCTCTCCGCTCGTCATCCATACCACCACCCCCTCCTCGATTCATCCTCCGCTGTGGTCTCTCATGTGCGTTTACCGCGTGCCCAAAGTATCTTGATAGTGTTGTCAGTGTCACGTCTCTGCCTCCTCACCTCACTGCATCACTCTTCCTCTTCCCCTACCTCACTCATACGCACTCTCGCACTCGTACGATCTCACACCCAGACCCACGCACATTCAAACTCGCTCCCTTCCTGATCACACATGCTCAGACCCTCTCACACGCAGACTCACACGCAAACTCACTCGTACTCTGACCCACCTTGTGCCCAGGATCACCCACACTCAAATCACTCAGAACCAGAGTCGCTCCCACGCGGATCTTCTGCTCACATTCGGGCCCGTTCTCACTGAGACTCGCCGGTACTCAGGCTCACTCACAGTCAGCCCAAAACAGACCCATACTCACACACAGACTCCCTCATGCTAAGGCTCGCTCGTTATATGCCTTCGTCAGGCGCAGACTCGCTCAGGCGCAGGCTCCGAGCATGGCAAACAGGTGCCACACAGGGAATCGACCAGGGCTGTGTCACGAGCCCGCTCGTGCCCAACTTGCTCGGCATCTCATACACAAGGGCACACTGGTTGTTGAGAGGTGTAAACCCTGCGAAATGCTTAAGAAATCATGGGCTCAGAAATTCAGAGTCTCAAAATTTGAGCAACAACCTAGAATTTCGATTGAAAGCTTAGGATCTACTTTGAAACATTAAGAACAATCGAGGCTCTGGCCGAAAACCTAAGTTTTCTCAAGCATCGCCTAGGGCGTACGTGTCTCCTTGCAGAGCCCGATGACCATGGCGACATAGCAGGCACTGACCACCTACCAAACCACCCCAACCCAACCCAAAGACCCGAATTCGACCCGAATTTCGGGTTGGGGGGGGTACGGGTTCGACATGTTTTTTCGATGTTACCCGACCCCCCCCCCACTGGAAGTGGAGGGCAAATCGTGGCCTTCGGGTTGGGTTGGGGTGGTTTGGTAGGCGGTGAGGCACGGCACTTGGCCAACCCAGGGGGTGATCGCCAGAGTATGTCGCGAGCCCGTCCGCGCCCGAGCTGCCGGGACACCTCGAATCGAGTGTACACGCTGGGGAGGTACGTGTTCCCTTTCAACGCCCAATGGCAAACGCGCTGTAGCAGGCACAGCACTTGGGGTGCTGCACAAGCCCGTTCGCGCCAAAAGTGTTGGGAGCCCTCGAGCACAATGGCCGCTTGGGGGGGAGGGGCCGTTTCTTTCCTCGGAGCCAAATGAGCATCGCGCTGTGCCCCACCAGTGTGGGGGGGGGGGGGGGCAACGAACGGTGCTTCACGAGCTCGTTCGTCGTCAAAGTGTTGGGACCTCTCCGATAGAACTGTCTCGTTGGGAAGATATACGTCTCAAGGATCATCGCGACGTAGCAGGCGTGGCGCTGGGGCACCCCAAAAGGGTCAGCCAAGAGACTTTCACAAGCCTGTTCGTGCCCAAACTATCAAGACCTCTCAAACAGAATGCCCGCTTTCAGAGCGTGCCTCCTTTCAGAGCACCGTGATCACCGCGATCACTTGGGCACCCCAACAGAAGGGGGGTCGACCAGGACTGCTTCACAAGACACTGTGCCCAAATTGTTGGGAGCTCTGCCGTAGAATGGCGGTTGGTAGGACGTGTGCGTGTCCCTGTTCACATCCAAATGATAACCGCGGTGTAGCAGGCATGGCACCGGGCACCCCACCCTGGGGGTCCACGAGGGGTGTTTCACGAGCACCTTCGTTGCCAAATTGCTGGGATCTCTCGGGGGAAATGTCTTTTGGGGGGTCGGTAGACGCATCGCTTCGCAGAGCCCAATTATCATCGCATTGTAGAAGACATGGCAATGGGGCTATCCAGAGAGGGGGTCGACCAAACGGGATCCACGGGCCCGTTCGCGCCCAGATTGTGAGGACATCTCAGGCGAAACAGTTGTTTCAAACAAGCGCACGAAGCTCTCTTCAGATCCCCGTGATCAACGCGTTGTGTGTCCGCGAGGGGATATCTGTTTGACTCGGGCCCGTTCGCGCCCAAATTGTGGGGACCTCCGAGGGGCCCAAATTGCAGGATACACTCGCGAATGCGAAGCGCCACTCGCACTCAAGCCCACCCGTACCCCGACTCGTATAGACTCGGCCATATACACTCAGGCTGACTCGCACCCAGACCGATTCACGTCATAACGCTCGTGCGGGAGCCTATCACTATCAGCCGCTCGCACGCACGTTCGCTCGCACTCAGGCCCACCCTTACGCAGACAGTCAGAAAGCGAGGCGCTATCACACTGATGCACGTGTGCGGGGCCTCCGCGTCGAGTAGTGCCACGCAGAATGCCTTCGGCCGTCTAGCAGGGCGCGCTCGCCTCGGCGCCTGCCGCTCTCCCGCCCCATCTACCAGGACTTCGTGTGAGAACGCTGCTCGCCTCGCCCACCTGATCCTGGCAGGTTTGCCCGCGCCTCGCCCACGAATGGCTTCCTCGGGCACGAGACGCCATGGTGCGTGCGGGCAACGGCCAGGCGCGGGCTCCCAGGACGCTCGTCGCCGCCGTGGATTCTCGAGGGCATCGGAGGCATCGACGTTCGAGGATCACGATTTCGGAAGTTCCTGAGCCGATTTCGGCTTCGCAGGGCGCCACTCGTGGCCAAAGCCAGCTGGAGTCTGCGGTTGGATACTCCACCGCCTCTTCACTACTCCCCTTCTTCATACTTTCTTCTCCCTCCACTTCCTCACTCATCCACTTCTTCACTACTCCCCTCCAATTCCTTCTGATACTGTTCCACTTCTTCATCATGTCTCTCCTCTATGTCCCTCCTCCTGTTCCTTTTCCTCCTTCTCCTCCTCCTCCTCCTCTTTCCCCCTCCATCTCCCACCCCCACCTCCGACCCTCATCCTCCTTCGCCGCCCCTTGTCATCCTCCCTGTCGCACCACCAGACTCGGAAGCGGGCCAGGCGTTTCGCCACTTCCTCTTCATGCACGATCATGAAGCTATAAACTTCCAGCAGCTGCACAGATGAAGGGATCCTATTCGAAATGGTGTTCTCGCATTTGCGCAGCGCGAATTCGTCTTAAAGGCTTGCAACAGGTTCCTTTTCAAAATGGAGCTGTCGCTTCGGCAGCGCGCACATTCGCCTGAAACGCTTATAGCACGCATAAGGATGGAAGATTGAGCATCTTCATAATGGAGCTTTCGCCTTAGCGCCTCGCACATTCACTTTTTAAAGTTTGCAACAGCTTCAGGGACGGAGGACGGTTCCTTTTCAAAAAACGAGATCGATCCAGACGTATCTACTTAAGTTGCTACCAACTGCGAAAACATATGTAAACGCTGTATAATGGAGAGCGATTCCTTTTCCAAGAGGCCGGTATCGCTGACGACTTCTCGACATGGATTGCCAGACATGTCAAGCCGTCCAACACATACACGGATGGGGGGGCGGCTCCTTTTCAAAACGGAGTTCCCACTGGCCACCTTGTTGGGCTGTACTGTTGGCCCCTTCCCGCATGCTTTGAAGACCGCTTGAAGGATACAAAACTATTATTTTTCAAAACGGAGCTCACGCCTGAACGGAGGGCACATTGGATGCACGTCGTTCAAAGGGGTGCTTCTCGCAGTGAACAGGAATGCGTTTAACGATTCATGGAGGGGAAGATGGCAACATCAATGACGCATCCTGGATTTACTCTGCTCCTCCTCTTCGTCATCATCAACATCATCCCACCTCCCATTCCTTGCCCCCCCTTTCCCTCGACATTCTGCCACCTCTTCACTTCCTCCTTCCTCATCTTCTTCTCGATCATCGTATGTTGTCAAACATCCGTCCTGTCCTTCTCCGTATAAGCTCCAGAACCTGTCCCCTGGCCCTGCTTCCCTGTCGCTCTGCGTCGAACGCGCGCTGAGGCCTCGGCACTACTTTGCCTACTCGGAGCACGGCGCAACTCGATTGCGAGCGTCGTCCTTTCACCCACCAGGACGTCGCCCGACCTCATTTAGCACTTCCTAGGCTGTCTGGTCGTTCTGCCCTTCGTGTAGTGAACAACGGGCCAAGCACTGGAGATGCCATCTAAAAGACTGAGGTCCCATTCGGCACCCGCCTCGCAAGTAGAAGAACAGTCAGCGCAATGGGAAGGGGTGTGATGGAGGGCCAGGATGTCAGACCTGCCGCGAGCACGCCAAGCTTGCCTTCACCCCCCTCCCCCCACGGTCCTCCCTCGTCTCTGCTCACTCTGATCGCTCTCCACTTCCACATCCGTGGCACCCGAACACGGCGGGGCGTCCAGCCAGACAGCACCATGAGACGCTCAGCTGGCGATGACGTCCCCTGGGATAACGTTCGGATGCTTGATCAGCACCTTACGAGGCCGAAAACCACAGAGGGGGAGGAGGGACGATGAGGGAGGAGGCGGCGGAGAATGAGGGAGGAGGGAGGAGCACGAGGGGAAGGATATGGAGCAGGACGTAGGGGGAAGGGAGGGAGGGAGAGCAGGGATGAAGAGTGAGGAAGAGACGGAGGGAGGGGGAGGGAGGGAGCAAGGACGAGGACGAAGAGGAAAGAGGAGACCAGAGGAGTGAAGACGGAGAGGGCGATGGCGACTGACTCATTCCCCATCTCTCCGCTTCACTCACTCCTCCCTCTCGCAGGCCCAAACGTGTCGTTAGAGCGGGCCGGGCGTTTCGCCTGAGACTTCCTCGCCATTTGTGATTCCACAACCAGGAACTTGCTACACGTTCACAGGTGGAGGGCGGCCAATTTTTAATAGATGACTTTCGCCTTGGGTGTCCGTCTAGTGACTGTTATTCGTTTAGACCGTGGTGAAGGCGTTGCTCGCTCTAGCTGCCCACTCATGCGACAGCCGCTAAGTCTGCCCGACCGACCAACCAGCCGACCGAACAACCGAACAACGACCGACGGCGACGACCGACGAATGACAACGACGGCGACGACGACCGACCGACCGAGCGAATGACCGAGCGACCCAGCGACCGACCGAGCGACCGACCGACCGACCGAGCAAGCGATCGACGACGACGACCGACCAACCGACCGACCGAACGAGCGACGACGGCGACGACGACGTCGACGACGACGACCGACGGCGACGACCGACAGACAAAGACGACGGCAACGACCACCGACCGACCGACCGACCGCCTCACGACGACGACCGAACGACGAGGACGACGATCGACGGCGACGACCGACGGACGACGACGACAGACCGACCGACCAACAGCGACGGACGACGACGAGACAGACGCCGTCACAAAGTTCTAGAAGGCCAAATCCACAAGGCCGACCGCGACCGGCCGAGGCCAGCTCCTAGAACGCGCGGGCCGGGTAAAATTCCAGAAGGGAGCGCCTCGAGGACGCGGCCCCGACTCCCACTCTCCATGACTCCCCCTGGAGACGGGGGGCCCGCCTTTGTAACAAACTGTGTGCACGGAAGCGGATGCCTTCGGCACGCCTCCCATGCCCTGGCCGCCTGCTCCCACCTGCGGGCTGCACCGCCCTCTCGGCGGCAGCACGCAGCAGGCCGCTCACGGGCGCCGGCGACATCCAAAGAGTTCGTCAGCGCCGTGGGCCCCCAAGACGGCGCGGGGCCCCAGGACTCTGAAGAGACGGCCCGAACTGGGGAGCCGGTCCTCCGCGAAGGGGTCAGGGGCCTCTCGGAGGTCGGCGCCACGAGGAAGTCCCATCGCCCGGGCTCTGGGCCCGGCCAGGGCGCCGCTCGAACAGATCGAGGCAGGATTACGTTACCCCTCTGGGCCTCCTCCTCCTCCTCCTCCTCCTCCTCCTCCTCCTCCTCCTCCTCCTCCTCCTCCTCCTCCTCCTCCTCCTCCTCCTCCTCCTCCTCCTCCTCCTCCTCCTCCTCCTCCTCCTCCTCCTCCTCCTCCTCCTCCTCCTCTCCTCCTCCTCCTCCTCCTCCTCCTCCTCCTCCTCCTCCTCCTCCTCCTCCTCCTCCTCCTCCTCCTCCTCCTCCTCCTCCCTCCTGGGCCGTCAGACGAGCAGCTCGGGATGGCGAGACAGCCCCAGGGAGGGTGTCGAAAGTAGAGGAGAAGCAGAGGCTGCACAAGCAGAAACAAACTTTCGGCGCTCCGCGCGGAGCGCCAGCAGCTCATGCTTAGGCCGTTGGTTCTTCGTCGCAAGGGGGCCCACGTCTCGCAAGAGCCGGGCCACCAGATGCCTGGGTGCCGGACGGGGCGAGGCCTCTGGAGCCCCGAGCCCGCGACCCTGTGCTACGGGGTGGGCGCCAGCTGTGCAGGCAGGGAGTCCGTGGCAGGGCTGCAGGGAGCAAGGGCGCAGGCCCCGGACGCAGGGCTCGAACAAAACCACGCTCTCCGTTTCCATGTGTTTTCGTTTCCCCTCGTTGTCTTCGCTCCGCCTTTGCTGCACCACGGACTCGAAGCGGAAACGGTCCACGAGATCGCTAGAGTACCAGCTTAGGTCGAGACCTGCCTGGACGTCCACGCGGGAACAGCTGCAGCGGCGTCGGACCAGCATGGCCCAGGCTGGGATCCGGAGCTGGGCATGTGTGGCCAAGGATGGGCCACCGAGGCAAAGACGGGACGAACTGACAAGGACAGGCCCAAGTGGCAACGATGAGAGGCTGGCCTTTTGATGAGGCACAGCATCCTTACAATATCTGCCACCTTGCCTGCGCGGAGGCGGTGTGATCGAATGCTCCTGTGGTCCCTCTGGGAGTCGGTTTTAATGTCTTCTAGGTCCGACCCCCCCTGCACCGCGCGCGGGGTTCAAACATCACCCACCCTTAAGTTATTCCAAAGACGGCTTCCAAAACAACCATGACGATACCAAAACTGCTTAAGATGGCACAGACGGGTCAAGAGGCTCTCAAGATGGCGTCCAGACAGCCCAAGAGGCCCCCAAGACGGCCCAAAAGGGCTCCGAGAGGCCCTTCAGGAGAGCCCGAGGAGGCTAAACCCATTGCTGCTCCTAAGATTTTGAAGGAGTTGAGATTCCTGCATGTTTGGTTTTCCGACCGCCCAAGACAGCCCAAGAGACGTCCGAGATGGCCCCAAGACAGGGCCCCCAAGAGAGCCCCAAGTCGGGACCCCAAGATCACCCAAGAGGCTCCCAAGAGGTCCCCAGGATGGCCCTAAAGTGCGTCATGTGTGGACTGAAACGGCCCAGAAAAGCCCCCAGGACAACGCCCGATGGCGCCAGACAGGCTAAGAACCCTCTAAGACAACCCAAGAGGCTCCCAAGAGGCCCCGGGAAGCCCCCAAAGAAGCCCCCAAGACGCCCTTTGAATGAAAAAACATGTAGTTCGTATGCTGTTTGAAAGATGTTGAGGTGTTCGCATGTTTGGGTTTCCGCTCGCCTAAGTCGGCTCGAGAAGGCCTTCAAGATAGATCCATGACGGGCCGCGAGGCTCCCAAGAGGGCCCCAAATCGGACCAAGAGGACCCCAAGATTGCCTAAGAGGCTCCCAAGAGGGCCTCAAGGCGGCCCTACAGGGCTCCTGGAATGGATTAAGACGGCCCAGAGAGGCCCTCACCTCGAAGGCGTCAGACAGGCCAAGAGCCACCTAAGATGGCCCGAGAAGCCCCAAGAGGTCCCTGTTGGATGTTCAAAGAGGTTGAGGTTCTCGCTTGTTTGGGTGTCCGACCGCCCAAGGCGGCCCAAAATACCTCCAATGCAGCTCGAAGACAGCCCAAGGGGTTCCCAATAGGGCCCCCAGTCGGCCCAACAGGGCCCCGAGATCGCCCATGAGGCTCCCACGCGGGCCCCAAGGAAGCCCTGAAGCGCTCCGAGCAAGACAGCCCAGAGAAGCCCCCAAGAGGGCCATCGAAAGCGCCAGACGAGCCAAGAGCTCCATAAAACGGCCCACGAGGCCCCAAGAAGCTCCCGAGCGGCCTCAGCAGGCCACCAAGCGGCACCCAAAATGACCACAGGAGGCTCACGGGAAGCACCCAGGAGGCCCCAAGAGAAGGGCCCATGAGTCCGTCTCCTCCTCGTCTTCATATGTTTCATTTCCGCGTCCTTCTCCTCCTACTCTCGCTCCTCCTCCTCCTCTTCCTCCTCCTCCTCCTCCTCCTCCTCCTCCTCCTCCTCCTCCTCCTCCTCTTCCTCCTCCTCTTCCTCCATACAGCGCGGACGAAGACGAGGTCGAGACCGCGCCCATTCCCAATTCAGATCACTCACTGAACTGCCGACGGGCGTGAACTCAACTTCCTTCCTACCGCACCGACGAAGACAACTTCGAATTCACGGCCCGTCCTGGTTCAGACCAGTCGTCGGACTTGCGCTGTTCGTACACTCGGTCTCCCCTTCCTGCTGCGCCGTTGCACGGGCACGGTGGCGGGGTTTGCCGCAGGCAACCAAATACTTTGACTCTTTGCACTGGCACCGAGCCTGGCCAGGCCCACACTGGCACTGGGCATCGCTCGGACGTCCATTTCCTGTGTTTTTATCGTTTTCGCGCGTGCTTTTTTCGCCAGATGGTCGAGGATGCTCCTCGAAGGTCCTCGCCGAAGGAAAAATGCACACGTCCGAGCGATGCCAAGGGCACTGATCCTGGCCTGGCCAACCCCGAGCCCAGGACTGGGGCACACGTCCTCGCCAGGCGGGGCCTGGAGGGCGTGTGCTCCGATCCAGTGTCCAGGGCTGTCCTGGCCAGACTGGGCGTCTGTGTGAAGCTGGCGTCCCGCAGCTCAAGGGCCAAGGGTCAGAGGGCGTCGTGGACACGGGCACGGACACGCCCTGCACCACGCACCGCTGGACCGCGGCAGGGTGGAGCCCTAACGACCAGAAGATCGGCACTCGTGCGGTCAAAGTAACACAACGCAACTCACCACTGGAGGAAAAGGAGAAGCAATCTCCGTACGCGCTGCTTCCGTGGAGTCAGTCAGTGCCGCTTGCGATGGTAGGCGATGTGCAAAAGAGTAATGACACAGACGAGGGTAAACACGAACAGACAACCGGAGACGTAGCGACCTGGGGCTGCCGCCCTGCCTCTGGAGGATCTCTTCCTTACCAGCCTCGAACATATCCCTATCCCTGAGATTGACACGCCAAAAGGCGATGACAATCTTAGGGATGCGCCCTCAAAATATAAGGGAATCCCTGAGATTGGCATCGTGATGAGGCGATGCCCAGCATAGGGATAGGGATATGTTCCAGGCTGGCAACTTCCCTCGCTCCTGTTGCACCACTGCACCCCGCTAGAGGGCCAGGAGGCACCACTGGATCGGGGGCGGCGCTAGGTGCCGCGCGCGCCCCTCGGGCCGCAGAGGGTCCTCGGGGCTGTCCAGAGGGAAAGCTGCGGGCATCGAGAGACAGAAGTCGCGGGCGCTCCTGTGCGCCACCTCGGCGTCCCCAGGGGCGGAGTGGGCTCGGGCCACAGGACCCCAGAAGAAGACCTGGACGACCCGCAGCGAACACCCGGTCCCATGGATGGGGTCGAGGGCTCCAGAGACCACGTCGGAAAAACACGCGGCTGCCCAAAAGCTGTCCTGTGTGTAAGATTGGTAGAATCTCTCGCGAGTTCGAGCCTCCACGGTTAAGGAAGGGCGGCGTCCTTAGGGTGTGCACAAATCAAGTCGAGCGACGCCACGCGCAGACATTGGCAGCATCGTCGAATCGATCGAATCGCGAACCGCCTCCCCTCTCCAGCCTCTCTCAAAATCGGACCCTTGGACCTGCCCTGGAGCGCGTTCTGACCACGACCTCGGGACAAATCCACCCGCGGCGACGAGGGCCACAAGCAGCTCAGAAAGGCCAAGCTATCAGCACTATCAACGCGGCTCAGTCACGAATCGAGCTGGCCGAAATCCTCCCCACCCCGTTCCTCTTCCTAGAATGAATCGAACCGTTGACAGCCCTGGTCCTCCGCGGGCCGCACCACGACGATGACGCGGTCCTTGTCGATCATCCTGCGGGCTCGCGTCGGTGACGGGACGCCCACTCCGAGAGGGCGGCGCAAGATCCTCGCCGTCGCTTCCACCACGGGCACAGCCACACCAGAGGCCCAAGCTCCGTTCCCCTAGCAATGATGCTGCACGAAATCATGGACGCTTGAACCCATCGGAGATAATGTCTGATGCCGGCCTCGCCACCAGGTCGAAACCAGTCATTCGTTGATACATCAGCCTGCCCGCAAACGCATTCGCGAGCGAAACCCGAGAGAAATGCAATGTTCAACGAGCCATGTGTTGATTGCTCCACGGCCCTGGATTCATGCTGGCGTCCCCCTAGGCATACGGGCCAATTCTCTGCGAGTCGAGGAGCAAGCCTCGTCCAAACCAGGCGCTGAAATTACCGGAAGTAATAACTGATCGGGGCAGCTTTGTTTTCTCAGCCACAACGCACACATCGCTGAAAAATGCGCGCCGCATCGCGCAGTCTTGAGTTGAATGCGGCGCGTACGCACTGATGATGGAATCTCTGCCACCAGCGAAACACATCGTAACGCTTGCCATTTAGGTCAACACGAAGCACGTCATCAACGTCGTCGCACACACATTCGGAATCGCACTCATCTTCGACAGGGTGGTCATGGCCGATTTCAGTATCATCATTGTTGTCGTCATCCGATTAATAAGCATCAGCATCGTCATTCTCATCATCACGAACGCCATCGCCATCACCAGCACCGTCATCATCACCGACGGTATCATCGCCGTGAAAGCCCATATCATCACCATCGCCATCATTATCATCATCATCAGTATCAACATCAGCATCAACATCAGCATCAACAGCTGCATGGTTATCATCATCGTAATCGTGATAATTGCTTCCAGCTGTATCATTGTCGCAATCGCCGTCACCATCATCAGTTGCTTGCCAGGGGAGCGGGATCCCCGGCAAATGCGGGATGATAGTATGATGTTGCGTTGGTCGCATTACTGCTCTGGACAGGTCGTATCGACATGGCTGCAATATCCGGTAAGCTGATATGTACAAGATATGTGAGCGCGGCGCGATCTGTGAGCGGATATGTATGGGATATGTATAAGATATGTATAGGACGACGCGGCAACGACCCGAAACACTCCCTTTTCGCTAACACCAGGTCGTCCCGCGATGCCGACAAAGTATATCGAATCGAAACACAACTGCGGGCGCACACTATCGCGCAGTAGCTGAAGGCGGCGGCGGCGGCGGCACAGAGACGGCACGGGGCGATGCTAACTCCCCCCGCGGCGGGATGCGCAGGCCCATAATTTCAGCTCCACGCGAGGCTCCACGGGTTCCCAGCACCCCCCAGGCACTTCGGCCCCCCCCGCGCCAAACCCCAAAATTTACACAGCGCCGAAAGCGAGGTGCCGATACTACCGTGGGAGCTCCCTCGAGGAGGGCCAAAATACACCGACAAATCCCACAGCCAAAACAGCGCACGGCATCAAAAAATATTGACGTTCCGACTCTGAATATTTGTTCCGATCTTCGCGACCACGCAGTACTACGCAGGCTGAGCCGGCATCGACTTCTTCTTTTCCATTATCTGCGGTTGAAGCACGCACTGCGCACTTAGGATCTAAAGTTGAACCCCGAATCCATGATGAACTGCGCTACTAGATCTGAGTTTATGACCGCCTCTCCTTCTCCGCATCTAATGTGTATCTCTCCCTCTCTGCTCGGGCAGGTAGCCGCCTGGCCCAAGAGGGGCCGCCGCCTCCGAGTCGACCGACTTATCTGGAATAGCCACGGACCGCTGTCCTGAAATTTAACCTGCAATGCACTCTCGAACGGCATTCAAGATTCTGAATGACCTAACATCAAGCAAATGGCTGGCGATCTTTCGCCCCAAGAGTCTTCAATAGATTTCATAATTTGTTGCAAGAATACTTCTGGTTCAGCAAATTCTCCTGCAGCCAGTCATTCCGTTACGCATCGACGCGCGAACCTGTCGCGGCGCGCGCCAGAGCCCGAACGGCCGTCGCCGCAGTGGGATTAGCGAAAAAATCCACCCACGGGATCTTGAGTCCCGGCCCCAACAAGCACGTCCCATCCGAGTCCACCCCTGCAAATGCATCTTCGGCGCACTTGGCCTCCGCGCGCGCAAGTATGAACGGAAAGTGATGGTTTTCGCCATGTCCGTCGCCATGTGTTCCGATGAATGTAAAAGCCACTGCGTGTTGAACATCCAGCAGATCTGGGGCTCGAAGATATTCCTTTGTCATCGAAGATTGATCGATCAAGACCCAGGCTCGTTGCAACCCTTCTCAGCCTCGTAATTGATCATGGCGCGCCACGCGGGCGGCCCCGGAAACCCTTCATGTTCGTTCCTGGGAATATAAGTCAGCGACCTGAGGCGCGGGAGGCGACGGCTGAGCCTCGCCCGCGACCTGCTTTAAGTCAGCCGATAAGTAATTGCTCCACTAGCCAAGCAGCAGTGGGATGATCAGTTCCGCCCGCTGTCAAATCACCATCCCAAATATGTCATCCCCCGTTGGAAATGGACTGGCCCCCGTCAACGTCTGGCCCCACAAAAGCGGTCAACTGTGGACCCGACAGTAGCGTTGCGGCCCAGTCAACACGTCGGTGGAGAGGTGGCCACCAATCAGCCACCCTCGTACCATATACATGCCACCTGTTGTATGATCTGAACCGACTTTTACGGGGTTCAAGCATCGGAAAAAATCGTGGCGAGTGGGTGGCTTGTCGTTTGCACTCTCAGCTTCCCACGATGGAATAGACCCAGGCTCTTTTGCAAGGTCGGCAATGCCCGCCCTCGATCTTGCAAGCCAAGTCTCCTTCTTTTCAACCTATTGCCACTCATGCTCGCCGCGACCCTTCAAGTTGAAACCATCACTCACTGGAAAAATATCATGCTGCTTGCGCCTTTCCGCGGCCGTTAGATTATCATTTCCTGGCTGCGTGTGTCTCACGAGACTCCGTCTATGAACGCAGACGGAGATCGATCCCGGCAGCCAGATGCGTTTCGCGACGCGCACGCGAGCTCTGCGGATTCGAGGCGTTCGCGTTGCACTGGGGGCAGAAACGAAATCCCAAACGAAAACTGCGATGGCTCGTGCACAAACGTCGCCCGCCATGAGCCCATGAACGCTTGTAGAGCTCGCGCCCTGCCTCCCGAATTGCGTCATCACCCTTAACCGAGCGAAGTTAATCATCGGAACGGAGGCGAGCGACGATGCCCCCTGGATCGAAAGCGATCTCTGGATTATCCCAATTGCGCTTAAAAAACTTAGTCCAGTCTGTCCTGATACGTCTGCATCGCGCAGAAAAAAATACTCTTGACATGATCGACCCACTTGGGTCGACGCTTGGACATCAACGTTCCGCCTGGAGTCATCCGGAACTTATTGCTCAAATACACCTTATCGCGGAAGACAATAATGCTCCCCAGCTGAATTGTATGACCCACGCGCACAATCCAGAATTGGCCGGCTATCGCGGAACCCAAGTGTCAAGGAAAGTTCAGCACGTTCGAAATGTGCAACCGCTGAATGTGGGCCGTCCTCGAAGGATTGCCCCCGCGGGCTGAGCCGGCGGGGAAACGCGCCGTCGTCGACCTCAGATCACGCATACACTGCAGGGTGTAACATCAGTGTCATGGACGGGCTCTCACACAACCCTACTTCCTTCCCAGGGTAAGATTTTCCCGACGGCTACTTGAGCACGGCGCCCTTGGACCTGACATGCATGAGTTGGCCGCGGCATGAAAACATACTTGGGTATTCACGCGGAGCGAACATTCGGTTCACGCTAGCGACGCGAATGGAATAACCCTGGGCCATCTGGATCAATGCAGGGAGCGAAAGATTCCCACAACTCCTCCGCAAAAACATCATATGATAATCGCTGGGTTCGGGCACCTGCCCAAAACTTCTGCCTATTTTTTCCCGCGCAAGCGAGCTCTCGCCCGGAGCCCCAACATGCGGGCGCAGCCTGGCGACATCCGGGACACCCCACGCATCGCCAGGGCCGGGCTGCGATGGCCAAAACCACCCACGCGCATGTTGCATTGAATCTCAATAACAAATGAACACCACCACACCGAATTCCTGACACAGCACAGACACTTCGAAAGTGGTACACTATCAAATTTCAGATGGTCTTGGCCTTCTTGGTTTCCCTCTCGCCAATTCTCGCCCCAAATTCTTCCGCGCCCATCCCCCCATCGTTGTCGCTGGGGGACTGGCAAGGATTGAACGGGGCAGAGCCCCGACAACTTGTCTTGTCATCCATCGTCGAAAACGCCGGGAGAGCCCCATTCCGCTCGAATTCACCTCAACTGTCATCTGAAAACTCTTTTTCGAGTAAGTCTTCAACAATGCGAAAATGAAGTCCTGATCAACACGGGCGATGTTATGCGACGCCTGAAGCGCAATGCCCATGACGGCGGCAAGATCGCTAGACGCGGGCCCATCGCCGCGCGCCCGTTCAACGCCTCTTTTAATGCGATTCGGGTTTGCCTGATGATGGCGGGCTTTTCTTCCGAAGTCATTTTCGGATGATAGATGCGAGGTGGTCCTCCATGGGCGCGGGGCGGTTCTCCGATCGCAAAATTCTCTCCGCGGGGCGGCTGGCCCGCCGCTGGAGGCGCCGGGGGTTGAACCTGCGAAAATGCCCGGGGCTGCAGGCCGGCCCCACTGCGACCACATCGTCTACATTCGGCCCGCCTCTCCCTCCGATTCACGAATTCGAGCATTGAGACGTCGGCCGCAAGATCGGGCGCAATGCCGGTTGAACCGGCACCGCCACCTTCGCCCACAGCCATGAGCTCCGGGGCGAGAGTACCATGTGCCCCGCGAATGTCGGGGGCTGACTTTGGCACGCCCGCATACGCGGACGCCTCCGCGTCCGCGCCCACTTATCTTTTCGGGCGTTAGATAAGAGAGTGGGGCATCTGCGCCCGCTTTGAAAACGTTTTGGATGCCCGCCGACGCGAGCTCCTCAGAGTTCGCGCGCTCTCTGCGCGCGGAATTCCCTCGCGAGCACGTCCGGCAAGGGTTCGGATCTCCTTCCCAGTCTCGCCGACGGCCCCCATGACCCCCCCCCCCCCTTGTAAGTTTGCGCAGATTGAGGGAAGTCAGCTATCACATCCTGCTCCATCAGGGAAGAATTAAAGACGAAACTAATAGCGTCCGGCATAGCACTTCGTTCGCGATTGATTTCGGCCAACCTCGCGCTAGGAAGCTGCTGCATCCACGCTGCCCCAATACCCCCCAATACGGGGGTCGTTTCCACGGGCGCGCATGGGCGCTCACCCCGGAGATCCCCAGGTCAGCCGCGCGAGGCGTTGTCGATGGCGAGCTGACCACTTGCCCTGCCAATGCTGGCTGGGCCGCCCTAGGACCCCCCGACGGCCCCGCCCACGAAGCTACGCCGCCAACCCTGGCTGAACCCGGAACAGCGGCATCCGCCATCATGACTTCTGCAGACCCTTCCTCTACATTCGCGGCAGCACGACCGCCGGCCGATCTGGCGGCGGGCATTTTCGGACCCTCGGGAGCGCCGACCTCACTGCCAACATCTGACGGGTTGCCTACGAGAGAGGCGCAATGCCAGACGATGAGAGAGGGGCGATCGCATCAGAGAGCCCCACGTGCATATGCCCACCCCCTGGGGACAGCACCCGCGCCGCGAGTCGGGGCGCCACCCGGGGGCGCGCGCGCCTTCAGGGCGGCACACAGCGAGGAGAGGAATAGAATTATGCAGACGCTGCCACCAGCCAGGCCTGCGCCATCGCACGCACGCGCGCCCCTTGCGACGCGCCGACACGCGCGGCGGAAGTAGGCAAGAAGATGGGAGCTCGACGAGAGGCGCCCCGAAGGCTCAACTGCCCAGAGGGCGGCCATAGGCGGGGCACCCGCAGGACGCGGCAGGGGCGAGAGGAAGAAGCAACATCGCAGAGAGTGAGAGAGAGAGAGAGAGAGAGAGAGAGAGAGAGAGAGAGAGGGCGATATATATATAGAGAGAGAGAGAGCGAGAGAGAGAGAGAGAGAGGAAAACAAAAAAGGGGGAAGGAAAGAGAGAGAGAGAGAGAGAGAGAGAGAGAGAGAGAAACAAAAAAAAAAAAGGGGAGGAGAGGAGAGAGAGAGAGAGAGAGAGAGAGAGAGAGAGAGAGAGAGAGAGAGAGAGAGAGAGAGAGAGAAAGAAAGAAAGAGAGAGAGAGAGAGAGAGAGAGAGAGAGAGAGAGAGAGAGAGAGAGAGAGAGAGAGAGAGAGAGAGGCGGTCGTAGACAAGCGCCACGATGTACACCCGCGGGAAAAAGGACCGTTTGCGCGCGACTTCTGTAGAAAGAACAGGGCGCGCGCCCGACGACGAGGACCGCGACAGATGGCAAGACTGAGCCAGCACGAAAGAAACAACATGTCGACTTGCACCAATTGAGAAAGGACGCACGCCACATGCACGGGCCGATTAGCGGGAACAACGCAGACGCAGCGAGCTCGACGACTGGGGCCCCCAGGGCCCAGCTGCCCTGAGCGGGGGCGGGGGCGCCGAAAGCGCCGCCGCCCCCCCGGCGCGGGGCGACGCGGAAAGGGGGGGAAGGAGAAGGAGAGAGGGGAAAGCAAGTGGACCTCGCGATCCGCCGGCACGCACCCCGAGAGATGCGAGCCATCACGCGGCTCGAACACTGGCCACCTCGAGCGCGCCGCGCACGTGCTCTTGTCAAGGGGTGCCAGTTTGCAGGGCTGTGACCCCCCTGCTGAGGATTTCTGCAGGGCTGTGACCCCGCCGCTAGAGGTTTTCTGCAGGGCTGCCCTCCTGCCAGAGGTTTCTCACCTGACAAAGGAAGAAGAGGAGAAAGCAAGGAGGGGCCAGACCCGACTCCAGGGAGACGCGGGGAGGGGATCCCCCACGACACCCGGAGGCTTCGGGACCGGACGGTGGAGGGAAAAGGGGGGGAGAAGATGAAACCCCGCCGATGGGAGACATCTGCGCCCACACACCTGCAGCGGAAAGAGGACTGAGAAAAGCAACCACACTTCTGCACGTGACTCGCAGACAACGACCGAGTTCATCCACAAAAGCATTGAAGAGGACATGGGTCAGCAGTGAATGACAATTAAGGCTCCTTCTCTAAGTCATGGAATCGCCTGCGCCCGCAGAAGTTGGCCCCTGCATGCCCGGCGGCTTGCGCCGGGCGACTTGCTCGCGGCCCAAACGGGCAAGAAAGTCCTCAACCCGCGCCTTTTCAGCATGCCTGATCATCGAGTCTCCTCTCGAGCCTGGGAGAGGCGCCACATGCGTCCTGCATGAGGTCCACCGCCTGCGCGGGCGAAACCGCAAACCGAAGTCGGATAGCCAGCTGGCCGACCTGGGCTCTCGCAGACATTCCCTTGCAAGCAATGCCCACGCGCGTGAGATGCGTCGCGGCGTCGAGCGATGGCCTGCTCGGCAATGCACAGCATAGGTCGGGGAGCTGCCCACGCATGCAAATTCGCCAATGTAGCATCGACCGAGACAGTCGACGACGGTCCCATGGCCCAGAGGGCAAAGCAACATCGCCTGATTAACCTGAGAGAGGGATGATCGCACCAGAGAGCCTCCTCTGCATACACCCACCCGCTGGGAGACAGCGCCCGCGCTACGATGCGGGACGCCCTCCAGAGACGCGCGCGCCTTAAGGGCAACGCACAGCAAGGTGAGAGGGAGGTAGAGCTACGCAGGCGCCGTCACCGGCCGGGCCTGCATCATCGCACACAGATGACGCGCCCTTGCTCGCGCGGATAGCAGGAGGAGGCACTCTGAAAACTGGCCTAGACTTCTCGGCTGCCTTGTCTGCTGCCTGTTGCTTTGCCTCGTCCAAGACAACCTGCTTCCTCGCCATTCCCGCATTCATCCTGGCTGCAACGTCAGCCCCCATCAAAGCCGCTTCTTCCGTTGCCCTTTGACCAGCAGCCATGTCTGGCATCGCCTTCACCTCTCTGCGGACAGCATTGAAATCCCACTGTTCTGCAGCCTGCTTTTGCCGCGTTCCTTCACGATCGCCGGCTGAGCCGACAGCGCGGGGGGTTGGATCCGACAAAGCGGGCTCTGCTCCTCTCTCAGCTCGCTCGTTAGCCCCCCTAGCGACGTCCGAACGGGTCCAGCGCTTAGTACCAGATGGCACTGAAGCAGGCTGCATATTTGTCTGGGTGCACATCGCACTGTTCGGCAGAGCTCTGAGGGAGCTGAATACGTCCGTCATCTCCTGGGGCCAGTGCTCGGAAATGATGGGATTCAACTTTTCAGCGGCGAGTCCCCTCGTGAACAGCATGTCCCAGATATGATCGAACATGGGGCAATGCTGGAACAGTGGAGGCCACCCGAGCCGTTCGTCCAATTTTGCCACCCAGGCCAGGGGGGGCCACTTCGACTGCGCGGCGCGGATTCCATCGCATTCGGTCTTTCTCCGATCATACTCAATTTTGAAATCTGCCCCCAACGCTTCGCCATCTCTCAACACATGGCGCAACAGCGCAACAGCGCAACAGCGCCCAAGTGTCCACAAGGCGAAGCGCTGCCAGGGTCCACGCGCACAGGCGCAATTCCAGCGGCGCGATGTTGATTGGATCCGAGTGGCACTTCTGCCGCTTCGCATTCTTGGCGCCGCATGTTCTGACGCTGTCATCGCTGTCATTCGGGACGGCGAAGATAATCTCCACCGTCCGCCAGATTCCATCCGCAAGTGCTTCCTCCGCCATCGCATAGGTCAAATGCTGGCGCGGAGCGTCGCGCTCTCCAAGAGAACTGTAGACCCCAACCCCCTACCCCTCCAACTCCGGCACCTCCTCCATATTTGGGGCTCGACGGCAAAAGCACGCGCCCCTCAGCAATTGAATGCAAATTGAATTCAAGACGGTCGTTCCACGCGCGAAGCGTGACCACCCTCCCCTCTTGATATGTTCTGTCTTGGGGCCGTCGACAAAAAAGGAATCGCCGGCCGCGCCGCGATGCTTGCTCGAAATTTGCCTTCACGCTGGCCGAGAGCCAATTGCACTGGCCCACACGCCGCGCCCCTGGATCTGGCAACGTCCGGCCCCTTCTAACTGCAAAGAAGCGTGCCGAAGGTGCCCATGGAGGAAGCATATACTCAAGAGGCACAAGGACACACAAATAAATACACACAAATAAAAAGTTGCCCCAATTTTCTCATATTTTCTGGGTTTTTTTCTCTTCCCGCCAAATTCCAATATTTTCCTATATTTTATTGGGGGTCGACGATTAATTGTGTCTGTGTTTTTTCCCCTCCTGATATACTTTGCTTCCCGCGGCGGGGGGGTAGTCTTCTCCGCCGTCAGCAGCCTCGCCAGGAAGACATTGCTCGCTGGTGAACTCATCCTTCTGCCGCAGCTTTCTGGCATTTCTTCTTCGTACACAGATATCATGTCCTGGACTTGGCGTTTTCGACTCGCTATTCGTAGCTCCCTCTCTCTCTCTCTCTTTCTCTCTGGGCCGGCAATTTCCATCGCTGCGAAGTCGCCTCTTGATCACTTACTTGTTGAGCATCTATGGGTCGAAGTAGTGTTCCTCCTGCCAAGAGTCAGTCGCAAATACTTCGGTCTCCTTTGCATATGTCGGCTCTGTCCCACTGAGAAGGTAATACGGCCAATTGTTTAGTTTTTTTTTACCATCCCCAGGGGCGCTGATCCACCTCTTTTCGTTTTCGCATCTCTCCCGAACCTCCTCCTCCTTGAGTTCTGGCTCCAGCTTTGCCTTCCCGCCTGGAGAACCGGCGCCGCTCGTGGCCAGGCTGCCCCCGGTCATAACATCGGACTTCTTGGGGGAGTATACCCAGGCCATGGGCAGCCTCGTGTCCTTCTGAAAAATGTGAAGGTGCTCGCCAAAGCTCGGGAGCAAAGTTTGCTTGGTCAGAAGTGTGTCGAGGAAAGCGCCCCAAATTCGCGGGCGTTACAGTCGAGCGAGGTCCGCGGACTGACGAGTGATTGTGTCAGGCGAGGGCCATGGTGTGACTTTGCAGTCTCCTGCCCCTCTTTTCCTCTAATGTATAAGCGGTGGACCCTTGGAGGTGGTGCCACCGCGCGATTGGGGGCCCGTGGATGTTAAAACAAATCCCAATCATCCATCCCTGTCATCATGAACGGATCCCCCCTGTTGCACCCCCAGACGTGTCCGCAGGGCGTGCGGGGCGGTCCGCCCGAGACTTTCTCGCCAGCTATGGTCGTGAAAAATGTAACTCCCAACGGCAACAACGATAGATCACAAGTGGTGAACAGCAGTGGGCTCTCGCCAGAGCGCCGCGCACATTCAGCTTAAAGCGTTGCGGCAGCTACTGGGATGGAGGGCGGGCGGCTTCCAAAATGGAGCTCTCGCCTGAGCGCCGTGCGCAGTCGCCCGAAAAAACTCACAACAGTTAGGAGGATTGATGGCGAGCCATTTTTCAAATGGATTTCTAGCCTCAGCGCCGCGACCATTCGTCCTCACTAGGGAAACGAACTCTATACACCGACGCTTTTTTCCGAGCCTGCGCCGAAATTCTCACAAAAACGCGGATCCTGGTGTATACGGGATCCTGGTGTATACATTTTCGTTGTTTCCCTTGGAAAACGGGGAAAAGCGTACACCAGACCACCCCGACGTCATCCCCGACCCTCAACAAGTCTTGGGATTGAAAAAACAAACCGCCACTGGTATTGTATATGTTCCAGTTTCCGATTTACACATACAACAAACGGAAGGATGGAGGTCAATGCCTTTTCACACTGGGATTCTCGTCTTAGCGCCGCGCAGGTTCGTTTTAATAGCTGACAAGGAGCATAAAAGGGGTTTCAAAATTGCGTGCTCTCCTGAGCGCTGCGTGCATTATCCTTGAACGTTTTATTTGCAACAGCGATTAGGACGGAACACATGTGGTTTTCAAGTTGGGCCTCTCGCCTTAGCACCGCGCGCCTTCAACTTTGATACTGCAACAGGTGAAAGGATGCAGAGCGGCTCGTTTTCAAAGTGGGGCTCTCGTCTCAGCGCCGCGCCGATTCGTCTTCAAACTTACGACTGCTACAAAGATGGGCGACGACTCCTTTACATAATGAAGGATCTCGCTTGAGATTTCCCGAAATTGGAGGCCAGAAACACACACACACACCAACACCAACACCAACAACAACAACAACAACAACAACAACAACAACCAAGATACATGGCAGCTGCGCGGATGCACGTCGGCTCATGTTCAAGATCATCAATGTTAATCGCCATGAGTGTGAACGTGTGCAGCAGATGCACGCATAGGGGGAGATTCTGCTCAAAAACGGGGATATCATTGGACATCTCGTTGACTTTGTGGATGCCATGACAATGGACATTTTAACAATCCGATCCTTGAACTGAAGATGTGTCTAAAAGGTGTGAAACATGTTCTGCAAATGCTGCCAGCCTGTTTTTCTGTTTACAGAGCTCAAACCTAGTTGACACAGGTTCTAGACATCTGGAAAGTATTTGGCAACACGCTTCCTCTCCATGGATCGTCCTCCACAACTCTACGATCATACCTTTTTTCGGGAGCGGCCAAGAGAGGGGTGTTCAAGAGGGGGGGTGCAAATCATGACCGGCGGCATGTGCGCGGCCCAGCGGGGGGGCGAGGGACGCAACGAGATAAGAGGACGCGCCCTGAAATCTGGGGAAATATCATGGCCCCCGCCATGATACTCCAGATTTTGTAATAAAAGGGAGGGGGTCTGGACCCTCCAAGACAAGCCATTTCAGACCTCCCCCGTGGGAGAACCCTCCAAAACATCGTCCCCAGACCCCCCAGGCCCTCCAAGATGGCCTGGAAGAGACCCCCCCCCGAAATGAGACCCCCCTCCCTGTATTACGAAATCTGGAGTAAACATCATGGCCCCCGCCATGATATCCTCCCCCCCCTAGTCATCACCCCCCTCGTTTCCGCCCCCGATGTTTCGCACCCCGGCTTCCCTCCGAGGGCTGCAAGGGCGGGGCCCCCGCCCGAGCGGCGGGCCGGCCCTCCGGGGGGGTGCCGATCTCTCTCGGGGGGGCGAACTCTCGGGCCGGGCGGGTGCCCTGCCACAGCGCGGACGCACCTTGGGGCCCTCTCTGGTCCGCTTCCGCCTCCCGACTTCTCACAGCGTGCATATGTTGAGAAGCAAACTTTTTGATCTGCGGGGCGAGAGCGAACCTCTTCCGCTAAAAGCTAGGCGGGCTACGCACAGCTTCAATTAGGGAGACAGGGCACAGGAAGGCAGGGCCTCAGGTGGCCGGAGCGGGCGGGGCCCGGGGCGCACATGTTGAGAAACAAGCCGTTACCCATCCCACCCTGCCTCCCCCAATCGTCCGTGACCTCCTCACCATGGTCCAGTGCGGGGAAGTGGAGGGAAAGGATTGGGATCGTCATCTCCCCCTCGCATCGTCCTCGTCATTCCCCTCATCCTCGTCGTCCTCCTCGTATCTCTCCTTGTCACTCGTTCCTCTCCTCTCCCCCCCCCTCCCCATCTCGCTCCCGACGCGACTCCTGTTGATCACCGCCTGGATCAGGTGCTGCTGCTCCAAGAGCTGGACCTGCGTCTGGATGCTGTCCTGGGCACCCTGGGTCTCCAGGAGGGGACGGCTTGGGAAAGGTGGGCCGCCCTGGGCCCGCGGACCAGGAGGAGGAGGAGGAGGAGGAGGAGGAGGAGGAGGGAGGAGGAGGAGGAGGAGGAGGAGGTCACTGGTCATGTCACATGGGGAAGGAGGGCCTCTCAGGAGCACCCTGGCCCTCGGAGACCCCACGCCCCGGGCCTTCTCGGACACGAGGGGGGCTTCTTCAGAGGGTCGCCCCCCCTGTGGGCCCTGCCCCCGTTTGCGCTCCGCCGGCACCTTCCCTCCGCCCCGGACCTCCAGCGGCGCCGCGCAGATGTCGCCCGAAGACGGCGCTCCCGCTCCGCCGTTTGAGGCTCCGCCGTTTGAGGCTCCGCCGAAGACGGCCCTGCCCCCGTTTGAGGCTCTGCCGGCATCTTCCCTCCGCCCCAGACCTCCGGCGGCGCCGCGACGATGTCGCCCGAAGACGGCGCTCCCGCTTCGGCGCAGCGCACAGCTCCGCTCGCCAGAGCGTCGGGGGCGTGGCCGCGCGCGAGCGAGCGACATGCCGCCCTCGCACTCGCTCCGTGGAGATTTCGCCTGAAGTGGGGTTCCCGCGTCTCGCCATCGCTCGGACGTCCATTCCGTGTGCTTTTGTTCGGTTTCGTGCGTGGTTTTTTCGCCGAATGATCAAGCATGCTCCTCGATGGTCCTCGCCGAGAAAAAAATGCACACGTCCGAGCGATGCCGAGGCGTGGGCTCGAAGCATGCGTCGCTCTCCGAATCCCCGCGGGTCCGCGCGAAAGCGGACGGACTTGCCCCCTCGCCCAAGCGCCGCAGACTTTGCGTGTACAGGTGGCAGGGCGGGCTGCTTCGGCGCAGCGTATGTTTATCCTTCAGCACGCAAGTCGGAAAGTGGACCGCTCTGGGGAGGGCTACATGGTGCTCTCGCAGCAGCGCCGCACAATAATTGTTTGAAAATCCACCTCCGCACATGTACGGCCAGCGTTTCAATTCCCCTCGCCGGATCGTCGGAAGTGGGACCTCGCGCGAATGCCGTCCGCACGGTAGGTGGGAACGCGCGCTCCATTCCCGATATCAAACTGCGCGATACGATATCATGATGGGCGGGGCCCGCTTACTCGTTCGACCCGTTTCATGTGGTTCATATATTCCTAATTGGCATATACTCCCACTGTGCCATCTAGCCAGCAGATGGTCGGCCAATCCTGGGGATTCCAACCTACCCATCAACAAATACAACATTGACGTTTTCTTCGCAACATGAGCATTCGTCGTCCACATTACAAAAAGCGCGGCGTGATCGGCACGGGTCGCACATCCCGCGAGAGGCCGAGATCTCATCTCACCTCGGCGAAGCATTCCTGCTTCCAAGGAACGGAGAGTTCCCGCTGAAGTGCGGCGCACATGTCTTGCGCGTCACTTCGTCGACCCGCGAGCCGATCCAGATGCCGCTGTCGCCTCGGCGCCGCGCCGATTTCGCGTGAAAGCGGCGCCCCCTCCTCGGCGCGACAGAGTGCTCCTCGCCCGCCAGTGTCGAGGGGCCCGCGCGCGCGGGCGATTTTTGTCGCCGTCGCCCACGCTCCGTGCGCCTGTCGCTCGGAAGCAACGCCCCACGCGCAGGCGCGGCGCACGCTTCGCGCGCCGCATCGCAGGAAAACACAACGGCGGCAGCAGGGCCGCGCGACCGCCGGCATCCCCCGAGCGCCGCGGGGCCTGTGGGTGAAAGTGAACGAGGAGGAGGAGGAGGAGGAGGAGGAGGAGGAGGAGGAGGAGGAGGAGGAGGAGGAGGAGTGGGGCGACGACGACGACGACGACGACGACGACGACGACGACGACGACGACGACGACGACGACGACGGTGTTGTGTCGGCGCAGCGCATGCTGCGCCTCCGCCGCGCCCATAGAAGCGTTGCCGCTCCCGCCCTTTGCGCGGCCCGCGTAAGTTCCCATTCGCTACATCGTCGGAAGTAGGGCCGCCCGCGAGCGCCTTCCCTGTGTTAGGTGGGAACGCGCTCCAATCCCAATACCGAGTCGTGCCACAAGTGATTCTTACGCTGTGGGAGGGAGGGTGGGAATAGGCAGGGCCTGCGTCGCACGATCTAACCCACTCGGCCCATCCTCATGCTCATACTTGGCATCCTGCCGGACCTCGTCGCCGGCGGACCTGGCGGCTCTGGTGCTCTACGGGGGGGTGGGGGCCGCAGCCCGCTTGTACCTGGTCCCCGCCCTCTTCCGCCTCCTCCTCCTCCTCCTCCTCCTCCTCCTCCTCCTCCTCCTGACCCCTTTGGAGGCGTTCAAAGACAAGATGTGCTTTCCTGACGGGTCCTGTTTCAAGGAAGGTCACAAAGTCCATCACTGTGCTGGTTGGTCATGTTTTTGTCTCCAGGAGGATGGGGAACCTTTTGCTATCATATCGGGCAAAGTAGGGGCCAAGCTGCCACAGACGAGTCCTGCTTCGGAGCATGTTGGGTTTCTGGCAAGCTGCAAGTATGCTAGCTCGGCGTCAGAATTCTGCACGGACTACAAAGGGCTCGTGGCAGTGAACGAAAGGCCCTTGGAAGTGGTTGCTGACAGAAGGTCGTATTATGCTGGACCCGTTCTCCTTGCTCTGAGCCACCTGCCCAGAAAAGTCGCTCTTGCCATCACAAAAGTGAAAGGCCATCAGAGTGCTGATTGTTTCGAGCCTTTCTCTGTGGACTGGTTTAGGGCCAAAGGAAACCACTGGGCTGATGTGGCTGCAAAGGCGGCTGCGATGACCCATTCCCGTCCGTCGGAGAACGAGCTTCTTGAGTTTAGTTTTGAAACGTCCAGCCTCAGGAGTTTTCTGATTTATGCGGCCAAAGCCCTGTTGCTCTGGTCAAGTCTTGCGCCTGCCAGGACCAGCAGCCGTCTGGGAAGGGCAGGCGTCTCCCGCGCTGGCGCAGCCAGTGCCGCCACTGCTGGTGGCAGCGCCGCCCGTGCCGCCACCGTCAGCGCCGCCTCAGAGGTGCTGGGCGTGGCTGGCCGGGGAGAGCCAAGTCCCTCCACTCCCCCTCGGGGTGCCCCCCCTCCTCCTGCCCCTACCCCCGCTGGGGCCACTGTGGGCCCGTCCGCTGCCCCCGCTGTTGGTGGGGCGCAGGCGCTCCAGAGGAGGGATCGTGGCCACGAATTCAAGTGGATTCGCGGTCTGTGGGCGTGCACGCGTTGTCTGACTCGTGTGCGTTCGGACCCTCCGCAGCCTACTGCGAACTGTCTTGGCTTCAACCCTGTGCTGTGCGCCCTTGTGCAAGAGCCTCAGGGGCATAACATTCACCTGACGGGTACCCCTGATGGGGTCACCCTCTTCTGCTGCATGGACTGTGGCAGTGTTTCTGAGGGGGTCAGGCTTGGTGGATTGGCGAGAGCCTGCAAGGGCGGGCCCTCCTCCAACCACACGCGTAGCAACCTCTCTCGGCTTAGAAGAGGCGTCCATCCCAATAATAGGGATGTGCCGCTTGACGAGCTAGTGCCTCTTGCTGACTTTACCCGTGCTGTGGACGGCAGTGGTTCGGCTTCGACTGGTGAAGTGGGGAGTTAGTCGCTGGCGCCCTCCCTCTTGGGATTGGGCTGTTAGCGATTTCCTCTCTGCCTTGCTGGTCTTAGCCCTTGCGATGCGACGTGTCAAATCAAATCCTCCTCCCCCTCCTCCTCCTCCTCCTCCTCCTCCTCCTCCTCCTCCTCCTCCTCCTCCTCCTCCTCCTCCTCCTCTCTCCTCCTCCTCCTCCTCCTCCCCCCCCCCCTCCCCCTCCCCTTCCCCCTCCCCCTCCCCCTCCTCCTCCTCCTCCACCTCCTCCTCTCCTTCGTATTACGGTTGTCTCATATTCCGATTACTCATATCATCATGCGTCTTCTTCTCATTGGTATGATTATTAATGTTCGCCACCGTAACATTATGAGTATTAAAATTATGCGAATTCGTATTACCATGAGTAGTAGTATTGGTATTAGTAGTAGTGGTCGTCATATATGTATGAGCGATGTTCTTCGTAGCAATAGCATTCGCAGCATGATCATTCGTCTTGTAACTATTAGCGCCTTATTAGTACACGTAGTAGTATTACTAGTGGTACTAGTATTAGTACTCGTCATAGTAGTCTTAGTCGTCGTCTTCTAAGTAGTCGCATTCGCCTTAGTTTGTGTATGTGATGTTAGTGCTGGCATCATGTGCATTATTCTTATGTGTCGTATCAGTTAAATTCTTCTTGAGAATAATCTGATTTGTCAGCGTTATAAGAATTACTAGTAGTATTGTGTGGTTGCTTCTTCTTGGTATTAGTATTAGTAAACGTTGTTTCCTTTGATTTCCCCTCCTCCTCCTCCTTCTCCTCCTCCTCTCCCTCCCCCTCCCCTCCCCCTCCGCCTCCTCGGTGTCCTCATCTTCTTCTTCGTCTTCTGCGTCTGGTTATTATTATTCCTCCTCCTCCTCATCCTACTCCTCCTCTTGCTCCTCCTCTGGTTCTATGTATCAGTATTAATGTTACTAGTATGACTCGCAGTATGAATGTGTGTATTGTACTTATGGTTATTATCCGTCTTCGTATTATGTTATGATTCGTCATATTAGTCGTAGTGTTCGTTTTGGTAGTATTAGTATTCGTCGTGTCATTAATCTTACTCGTCGTATTAATAGCATGATTAGTATTGCTCTCATTGTTATTATCAGTCTTACCATTATGATTAGCATATTTAGTATGCATAAAGGTATTCTTCGTATTCATATTAGGAAAAATGTTTGTATTAGTAGTAGTATTCGTCGCCTTATTGTTTTTCGGATTCCTCCACCTCATCATCCTCCTCCACCTCCTCCTCCTCCTCCTGATCCCCTTCTTCCTCCTCCTCCTCCTCCTCCCCTTCGTCCTCCTCCTCATCATCATCAGCATCATAAGCAGCATCATCACCAGCATCATCAACATCATAATCGTCTGCATCATCATCATGATCCTCATTAGCAGCAGCAGCATCATCACCGCCATCCTCATCATCATCATCATCAGCATCATCATCATCATCATCATCATCATCATCATCATCATCATCATCAGCATCATCATCATCATCATCACCATCCTCAGCATAATCAGCATCAGCATCATCGGCATCAGCAGCAGCATCACCATCAGCATCAGCATCAGCATCATCATACTCCTTCTCATCATCATCAGCATCATCATCCGCATTATCATCAGCATCATCAGCATCATCATCATCTCCCTCCTCGTGCTCCTCAAACAATTTCCAGCTCGAGCACAATGTTGGTAACTCGCGCGCCAAAACCTCGCGCCTCCCTGCGGTGCTTGGGGTGGAGCCCGCTTTCCGTTCACCCGTTCGGACAAACGGTTGGGCTGGCGAAAGCGAGGCCCTGCTCTCAAATTCCACGGCAGCAATGCCCAAGCCGTCGAGCACGCGAGCAGGATGCGGCCGGCACCCAGGATCTCAATCACAAGTTGTAGCAGAACTGCCTGAAGTGCCGCAAGCGCAGCAGACCTGTCAAGCTGTACACGCCGAAGCCCAAGAGCGGTGGAGGCCAGCAGCAGCCCGACTTTAAATGAGCCCACAAACACGGGGACAGTGCTCGCACTGTCACAGCGTTCGTGGGCTGGTACGAACGCTGCTCCTGCGTCTGCCCCGCACCCCTGCCTTCTCCTCGTCCTCGGGACGGGGAAAGGGTCGGGGTGCGGGGCCGTCAAGGGGGGAGAGGGATGGTGCTGCTCTCCTCGTGCGGCTGCCGTCTCTGGGCTCCTGCTCTCTCTCTCTCTCTCTCTCTCTTGTCCGCGGTCCGCCCATGTGCGGCCGCGTGCCTCTCGGCCAGGCGATGGGGCTGACGGGCGCGTGCTCCGCAGCCTTGGACCACCGCACAGTGTGCGCGCGGCGCTGGGGCGGCCTCGCAGGGCCCGTCCGCGCGCGCGGCTGCGCACACCTGGCGGTCGCCTCTCTGGGGAGGGGCCCCCCGCGAGGCCCGCGGCGCGGCGCGCACGCTGCCCCGCGCGAGGCCGCGCGCTGCGTGCTGCGCGCCCACCCGTGCGAGGACTCGTGCGTGGCCAACCCTGCACAGAGCAGCCCGTGCGCGGCTTACGATTGCCAGCAGGCTCAGGTGCAGTCGTTGCTCGGCGGCCCAAGCGTGGCCCAACACGAGCAGCCCATGCGTGGCTTGCCACTGTCGGCAGACCCAGGTATGGTCGTTGATCGGCGGCCCATAAGCGGCCAGTCATGAACAGAGCAGCCCATGCGTGGCTTACCAGCGCCAGCAGACCCAGGTGTGGTCTTTGCTCGGCGACCCATGGGTGGCGAATCTTTCGAAGTGCAGCCCATGTGCGGCTTGTCATTGCTAGCAGGCCCAGGCGTGGTCCATGCGCGCTGGTCCATGAAGGACCAACTTGTGACGAAGCAGCCCGTGCGTGGCTTGCCGTTGCCTGCGGTCCCGGGTGAGGTCTTCGCTGGGGTGTTCGGGTGTTCGGGCGGCCCCTATGTGCCGCTGGCCCGCGCGTGATCGCAACGCGCTACACTATTCGCGGTGGCGCACGAGACGCCTTCCGAAAAGGTGCGCGAAAGATGCATGGAGCTTGTCGCATCGCGTTACGCGAAGTGAGTTCGCGCGCACTTGGTTTCCGACTGCTTGGGGATGGTGGGCCAGACTGCGAACGAGTTGGCTGACGCGCTCAGCCAAGTCGAGGGCGCCGACGCTCGCGACGCCGCCTCGTACGACGTGAATTCCCGGCGCTGGTAGCCCGTCTGTAGGTCGCCTCGTACGCGTGAATTCCCGCCACTGGTAGCCCGGCGAGTGCTCCCCGATCCCAGATCATGGTGCTGTTGATGGCTCGTGAGCCAGCGATGGGGAGTCAAAGCCGCACGCCCGAGGCCTCGGACTCGTCGACGCGCGTGCCAAGCCAGTCGGATGCTGCGGACGAGATCCTGGAGGTTGCGGCATCCGATGAAGTAGTCGGTTCCGAACTCTTCCCTTCTCGGGCCATAAAAGGTGTGGCCGATGTCGCGGCGAGGCGCGATGGCACGAACCTCGTGGCACAGCAATTGGGCGTGGACGCGTCTGCCAAACTCGCTCTCGTCGCCCGCCTGACGCGCGCCAATCGCGCTGTCCGAAGCGCGCCATTTGGATGGGCAGCCCAGACTTTGGCTGAGGTCGGCGACATGAAAAAGACAGGGATGACGCGGCCTGGACGTTCGGTCGTAGCCTGCATAAGCGTTTTCCAGAGCCGAAGACATCCCCCTTCCATGGGCGTACTGTTTGTTGGCTCGATGGTCGAGGGGCGAAGTGGGCAGACGATGCAGCGGACGCGCAACGCACCTCTGCGGACCTCCACAACGCCCCCCGGCCCGCGGAGCTTATGTCGAGAACGCATCATGTTGCAGACGCCAGCGCGTCGAAATTGACTCTGGGCAAGCGCAACACGATGGGGGGGCCCAAGAATATACACCACCACCACCTCCCTCACCCCCTCCCTCTCCCAGGAAAGAGGAAAGGAAGAGGAGGGTAGAGGAGAGAGGAGGAATCGACGTGGTGGTGGTGTATATTCTTTGGGTCCCCATACTACAGCCCGCCGGGGCGCGAGCATGAGCTCCGTACCCCCGCCTAACGTGGGCCCACTGATGTGCAGCGGAGGTCTGGACATGGCGCGGCACCTCTCGGGCTGGTCGCCGCGTCTTCGTACTGACCAGCAATACGGCTTGACAAAGTGTTTGTCGGCGTCGGAAATGTCGTGGGGTCGCCCAGGTGAGCCTTTGAGCGCGAGTGGGCCCCAGCCCACATCTGCAGCAGGCTGAGAAAGCGAGCCGGAGATGACGCGCGATCGCGAGTGAAGGGCCGTGGTTCGCGACGTCGGTCCTCGCCTGATAATTTCCCTGCGAATGGCAATTCGTCGTCATGGCCCTCATGAAATCGATGCTGTAGATCGCGACATGGAGCAGCATGTGGATCTCACCATTTCAGATGGCACCTTATCGATATGGTTATCGTGAAATCGAAGCTGTGGCTCGCGAAATGGAGCGGCATTTGGAAATGCAAATTATGCTGGCACTTCGCCGTGTTGGCCTGTCTGCAATCGAAGCTGTGTATCGCGTCGTCGGTCGCCACTTGGAAGTTCGCCTACAGTCGGCAACTGATCGTTATGGTCTGTGTGGAATCGAGGCTTTGGGTCGCGTAATCGATCGCCATGTGGAAATTCACTTGCCGCTTGCAACTCGCCGTCATGGCCTTCACGATTCCGAGGATGTAGATCACATATTTGCTCCGCACTTGGGAATTCGCCTTCGAGTGGCAATTGATCCCATGGTGGCAGGTCGGGTAGGGCGTCGATGCCAGCAACGTCCTAGTCTGGTGGGTCGGCGGCCTTCAGGAGTTGACGTAATGCGTCAGCGACGGGTTGGTATCTATGGTGATCCCCCTGCATTTGACATGTGGGTCGCGGCTTTGCTCACATCCGCTGGAGCACCAGCATCATCACCACCACCACCGCCATCGTCATCATCACCATCATCATCATCATCATCATCATCATCATCATCATCATCATCATCATCATCATCATCATCATCATCATCATCATCATCATCATCATCGCCCCCCGCCCCACCCCTCCCTCTCATCCTCCTTCATCCTTCTCCTCATCCACTTCCTTCTCCTCGTCCTCCTTCTCCATCCGTTTTCCTTCTAATTAACTCCCTGTCGCTCCCCCCGACGTGTTGGTAGGTCGAGCCAGGCGTTTCGCCTGACTTCCTCACCGCTGATGGTCCTGAAGCTTGAGACTTGTAACAGCTTCACGAATGGAGGGCGGATGGTTTTCAAAATGTGGTTCTCGCCCGAGCGTCGCGCACATTCGTCTGAAATGTGTGCAACGGCTTCCCGGATGAAGGGCGGGTCCTTTCCAAAATGCGGAGGTCGTATTAGCGCCGCGAACATCTGCCGCAAGAGCTTGCAAAGGTTTCAAAGGTGGAGAACAGGCGATTTTCAAAATGTGGCCCTCGCTTCAGCGCCGCGCAGCTTCGTTGTGAGAACTGCAACCGTTCCACACATGTACAGTGGAGGCCAGTCCACAAGAAGCCTTCCACAAGAAACCCAACCCTGAGACCCCAGGGCGTCCCTTCATGTTTGGTGTGGGAGCGTCGCGCCTTCCATCGCAAAACCATCGAAACCCAAGAAACCCAGGGCACCCTGGAGGCAAGCAGGGTGTGTCTTGGCATGGGCCCCCGCTGCACGTGGGGCGATTCCTGTTTCGACCTGCGCCTGTCGCTCCAGCGCCGCGCACAGTCGCCCACATCTCTGCTACCGCCTCAAGGCTTGACCCCCATCGTGGCAGCCCCAAGAACTGCAAGGTGGCAAGATTTCAAGACTGTCAGGACGTGGCAACCACGTTGACTCGCGGTGTTCACGTCCCACGAACGGCGTTCTAGCACGATCCAGGGCTGTCAGGACGCAGCATCCACGTTGATTCGCGGCACTGAAGTTCCGCGAAGTGTGTTTTGGCACGACCTTGAGGATTCTTTCAACGGTGGTCTTCTAATGGGCCGCTTCCCGAAAGTAAAATGTATGTGGGGGCGTACGAAAATGGAGCTTCGAGAGAGGTGTATTGTGACATCGTTTGCGCGTCTCGGGTTTGAACTGGTCCTCCTCCGCCTCCTCCTCCTCCGCCTCATCTCGTTCCTCCCCCTCATCCGCCACATGCTCCGCCTCCTGCTCTCCTTCTGCAGTTCCTCCCTCTGCTACCCTTCCTGCTACCGTAGCAGGGCATGCCAGGAATACGGCTGAACTCGAGCTGCAACTCGTGCCATCCCTGACCATTGGACCCTTTGCGTATCGCAAGGCTGTCCTCTATCTGCTCCATGTACCACGTGATGAGGTCGCCCTCCTTCACCTCCACGTCGGCCCTCTCCTGCTGCGCCTGGGACAAACAGAGCGAGAGTGCCAGCCAGCTCGGTGACCTCCTCAAACCCAACTGGAACCCGGCTCTCAACGGGTATGGCCTCCTGGCCCGGTCGACGGCCGACGACCAGAAATGTCTGGGCTCGGAATGGGAAGGCGGAGGCTCTGCGGCGGACCCCCCCCACCGGGGTTCGTTCTCTCTCGGGGGGCCCCCCAAAGCATCTTCTCGCGCGTGATCCTTGTCTTTTCTTCTCTCGCAGTCCTCTTCCTCCTCCTCCTTCCCCGCCTCGTCCAGCAGGCATTCTAGCTCAGGCCATTTCTGGCCCTGGGGCCCCTACACATACCCTACCCTGTGCTTGTCCGCGCGTCGATTGCACCTTGGTGGCTATCCGACGGGCGAGCGAGGTCGTAGGGTGGCTCCGCATGATTTAGGCTCTTGGGATCCTCGTCCTCAAAATGTTCCGCAAAACATCCAGCATCGTCCTCGAGATGTTGGGTACGGCCTCAAACTTACCTGGCGGTTTCGTCGTTAAGGTGTTTGGCAAGACCGTTGGTGTACGTGCGGCATGAGCTGTTTGGCAAGGTGATATCCGCCATCTCCCTGTGCTGGAGCTGAACTTGCTGGGAGTGGCTACGCTTCTCCATATTCGGCGGGTATGGAGGTGTGGTGAATGCGCTCGGCAGAGATATTGTGTATGGTTTCCATTTACCGCGATCATGGACGCGCCTGCTGCTGCTCACCTTCTTCGTTGCTTCGATCGGGTACCCCGTAGGTAGAACTGTTATGAGTCATCTCCTCCTGCATGCTTACACACAAATTATGTGTGTGCATCCCTCATCCTCATCCTCCTCATCATCATCCGCCTTCGCATCTTCTTCTTACTACGGTTAATATCGTCTGTATGCGTATCAATACTGATACCCGCATTAGCGCTGCTCTCAATGTGTCAAGCTTTGTGCATTACTATGATTGCTGCTACTACTACTACTACTACTACTACTACTACTACTACTACGACTACTACTACTACGACTACTACTACTACTACTACTACTACTACTACTACTACTACGACTACTACTACTACTACTACTACTACTACTACTACTACTACTACTACTAACTACTACTACTACTACTACTACTACTACTACTACTACTACTACTACTACTACTACTACTACCACTACTCTAACTACTACAACTACTACTACTACTACTACTACTACTACTACTACTACTACTACTACTACTACTACTACTACTACTACTACTAACTACTACTACTACTACTACTACTACTATCTACATCACTACTACTACTACTACTACTACTACTACTACTACTACTACTACTACTACTACTACTACTACTACTACTACTACTTAACTACTACTACTACTACTACTACTACTACTACTACTACTACTACTACTACTACTACTACTACTACTACTACTACTACTACTACACTACTACACTACTACACTACTATACTACTTCTACTACTACTACTACTACTACTACTACTACTACTACTACTACTACTACTACTACTACTACTACTACTACTACTACTACTACTAACTACTAACTACTACTACTACTACTACTACTACTACTACTACTACTACTACTACTACTACTACTACTACTACTACTACTACTACTACGACTACGACTACGACTACGACTACTACTACTACTACTACTACTACTACTACTAACACTCCTACTACTACTACTACTACTACTACTACTACTACTAACTACTACTACTACTACTACTACTACCTACTACCTACTACCTACTACCTACTACCTACTACCTACTACCTACTACCCACTACCCACTACCTACTACTACTACTACTACTACTACTACTACTACTACTACTACTACTACCACTACTACTACTACTACTACTACTACTACTACTACTACTACTACTACTACTACTACGACTACTACTACTACTACTAC